CAGGTCAAGATCCTGGACTCCCGGGATCGAGTCCCAAAATCAGGCTCCCTGCTCAGCAGGGAGTCTGCTTCTCCCTCTGACCCTCCTCCCTCTCATGCTCTCTGTCTCTCATTCTCTCTCTCAAATAAATAAATAAAATCTTTAAAAAAAAATAAAAAATAAAAAAATAAAAGAAAGGTCAAGAACCATATGATCCTCTCAATAGATGCAGAAAAAGCGTTTGACAAAGTACAGCATCCTTTCTTGACTAAAACTCTTCACACTGTAGGGATAGAGGGAACATGTCTCAATATCATAAAAACCATCTATGGGGGCGCCTGGGTGGCTCAGTCGTTAAGCGTCTGCCTTTGGCTCAGGTCATGATCCCAGGGCCCTAGGATCGAGCCCTACATCGGGCTCCCTGCTCCGCGGGAAGCCTGCTTCTCCCTCTCACTCCCCTTGCTTGTGTTCCCTCTCTTGCTGTCTCTCTCTCTGTCAAATAAATAAGTATTAAAAAAAAAAATCTATGAAAAACCCACAGCAAATATCATTCTTAATGGGGAAAAACTGAGAGCTTTTCCCCTAAAGTCAGGAACATGGCAGGGATGTCCACTCTTACCAACGCTGCTCAACATAGTACTAGAAGTCCTAACCTCAGCAATCAGACAACAACAACAACAAAAATAAAAGGCATCCAAATCAGCAAAGAAGAAGTCAAACTCTCACTCTTTGCAGATGACATGATACTCTATGTGGAAAACCCAAAAGACTCCACCCCCAAATTGCTAGAACTCGTATACAGGAATTTAGCAAAGTGGCAGGATATAAAATCAATGCACAGAAATCAGTTGCATTTCTATGCATGAACAATGAGACAGAAGAAAGAGAAATTAAGGAGTCAATCCCATTTACAACTGCACCAAAAACCGTAACACACCTAGAATAAACCTAACCAAAGAGGCAAAGGATCTGTACTCAGAAAACTATTGAACACTCATGAAGGAAACTGAGGAAGACACAAAGAAATGGAAAAACATTCCATGCTCATGGATTAGAAGAAAAATACTGTTAAAATGTCTATGCTACCTAGAAGAATCTACACATTCAATGCAAACCCTAGCAAAATACCATCAACATTTTCACAGAGCCGTAACAAATAATCCTAAAATTTGTATGGAACCAGAAAAGACCCCAAAAAGCCAAAGGAATGTTGAAAAAGAAAATCAAAGCTGGTAGCATTACAATTCCAGACTTCGATCTCTTATGAAGTCTGAAGATGATTACAAAGCTGTAATCATCAAGACAGTATGATACTGGCACAAAATCAGTCACATAGATCAATGGGACAGAATAGAGAGCCCAGAAATGGATCCTCAACTCTATGGAAAGAATGTCCAATGGAAAAAAGACAGTCTCTTCAACAAATGGTGCTGGGAAAATTGGATAGCCCCATGCAGAAGAATGAAACTGGACCATTTCCTTACACCACACACAAAAATAGACTCCAAATGGTTGAAAGACCTCAATGTGAGACAGGAGTCCATCAAAATCCTAAAGGAGAACACAGGCAGCAACCTGTTCAACCTCAGCCGCAGCAACATCTTCCTAGAAACCTTGCCAAAGGCAAAGGAAGCAAGGGCAAAAATGAACTATTGGGACTTCATCAAGATAAAATCTTTTGCACAGCAAAGGAAACAATCGACAAAACCAAAAGACAACCAACAGAATGGCAGAAGATATTTGTAAATGTCTTATTAGATAAAGGGATAGTATCTAAAATCTGTAAAGAACTTATCAAACTCAACACCCAAAGAACAAATAATCCAGTCGAGAAATAGGCAGAAGACATGAATAGACATTTCTCTAAAGAAGACATCCAAATGGCCAACAGACACATGAAAAAAATGCTCAATATCACGCGGCATCAGGGAAATACAAGTCAAAGTCACAATGAGATACCACTTCACGCTGGTCAGAATAGCTAAATCTAACAAGTCAGGAAACAACAGATGTTGGTGAGGATGTGGAGAAAGGGGAATCCTCTTATGCTGTTGGTGGGAATGCAAGCTGGTACAGCCACTCTGGAAAACAGCAGGAAGGTTCCTCAGAAAGTTGAAAACAGAGCTACCCTACGACCTAGCAATTACACTACTAGGTATTCATCCAAAGGATACAAAAATGCTGATTCGAAGGAGCACATGTACCCCAGTGTTTATAGCAGCAATGTCCACAATAGCCAAACCATGGAAAGAGTCCAGATGTCTGACAGATGAATGGGTAAAGAAGATGTGGTATATATATACAACAGAATACTACTCAGCCATCAAAAAATGAAATCTTGCCATTTGCAATGATGTGGATGGAACTAGAGGGTATTATGATAAGCGAAATAAATCAGAGAAAAACAATTATCATATGATCTCACTCATATGTGGAATTTAAGAAGCAAAACATAGGATTATAGGGGAAGCGAGGAAAAAAAATAAAACAAGACGAAATCAGAGAGGGAGACAAACCATAAGAGACTCTTAATCGTAGGAAACAAACTGAGGGTTGCTGGAGGGGAGGAGGGTGGGGGGATAGGGTAACTGGGTGATGGACATTAAGGAGGGCACGTGATGTAATGAGCACTGGGTATTATATAAGACTGATGAATCACTGAACTCTACCTCTGAAACTAATAATATATTATATGTTAATTAACTGAATTTAAATTTTAAATTTAAAAAGTATATACATTATTAAAATGTTTTAAAGTCAAAAAAAGGGAAGTTTCACCTTGACTTTCTTGTAATTAACTATTAATCAAAAGGCACAATTCATACCTTGATTTCTTTAAAGCAAGGCAAATCTTTATTCACGTTTATAAAGCAATTATGAGCAAAATTCACGTAGGATTTTTATAAAAAATATTTTCTGTAACAGTTTGCATTTATCTTGCCCACACATACTATTATAGCAGGGTTTTTTTTAATTTATTTATTTTAGAGAGAGCTTTAGTGGGCAGAGGGGCAGAGGGAGAGAGAGAATCTCAAGCAGACTCCCTGCTAAGTCAGAAGCCCGACACAGGGCTCGATCCCAAGACCCTGAGATTATGACCTGAGCTGAAATCATGAACTGGATGCTCAACTGACTGAGCCACCCAGGCGCCTCTATTATAGCAGTTTTTTAAAAAACCTCTTATTTATCAAGTCTTTCCAAAGCAATCAATTTAGTTTTCAAAGACATAATCACTCTGTCTTTTCATACTCATATTACATTGGTTTACCATATTTAATTAACAAAATTTCAAAAACAATATAACTGATAATGTAACTTATCCTTATTAAGCATTCAACTTAACCAGCAGTGTTGCAGTATGCAGATCTCAGAGGAGAGCTTACAAGCTGTGAATGTGCTGTGAGCTTCAGTCAGTACGGTTTACACAGGAAAGGCAGAACAATAGTTAACTCAATAAATTAGTTAAGTGGAAGTCAGAACATACCAAAAGCCTTATAACTTGCATCCCCTGTGACTCAGCAACTCTATTTTATAAATGTACTCTAATTTCTTCCTATCTTTGTGAATAAAGGGTTAGCCCAATCACCAAAGTAAAAAATCAGGAAATCAAAAATATCTGAAAGTCCAGTAACACAAGATTGGAAAAATGAATTGTAGTAAATCATACAGTAGGAATACTGTGCAGCTCTTAAAAGAATATGCAGAAAAAAAAAGAATATGCAGAAAGATGACATATAGTGATGTACATAATATATTATTAAGGAATAAAAAGCAGTTATAAAACAGCATGTACTATAAAAACCTATTTTGGTAAAATATTTAAAGTTTTTTTTTTTTTTTTAATTCATTCGAGATACAGAGATACATTGAAAGAGAGAATATGAGCAGGGGGAGAAGCAGAGGGAAGGGGAGAAGCAGGCCCCCCGCTGAGCAGAGAGCCCGATGTGGGGCTCAATCCCAGGACCCTGGGATCATGACCTGAGCTGAAGGCAGACACTTAACCATCTGAGCCACCAGGTGCCCCTATTTTGGTAAAATATTTAAAGAAAAAAGACAGGGTGGGGTGCCTGAGTGGCTCAATTGGTTAGCAGTCTGCCTTCAACTCAGGTCATGATCCCAGATTCCTGGGATCAAGTCCCGCATCCACCTCCCTGCCCAGCGGGGAGTCTGCTTCTCCCTCTCCCTCTGCCCTTCCCCCTGCTCACGTGCACTCTCTCTCTCTCACCCTCTTTCTAATAAATAAATAAAATCTTTTAAAAGAAAAGAAAGAAAAAAAGAAAAAAGACAAGGAGAATCAAGTGAAATAATACATAAAGCTTAACATGGTGCATATTGTAGGCAATCAATAAATGTTAGATATTACTACTGTAATTATTATTAATACAGCATTTGTAACAAAAGCTCACAATAGTTACTTAAGGTTGTAGAAGGTCACTGATTTTTCACCTTTTTATATTTCCTAAATTTTTATCACCAAATCTATGTCTGTTTTATAATAAGGATAAAAAACAGCCATTTTGTGAAATGTACCACACAATAAAATGGAAGGCTTTAATATAATCAGTTTATACACATATTTCTCATTTATGCTTCCAAAAAGATCATGGTAGTAGAAAGGGCATTATCACAGAGACCTCTGAAAATTATTCCTCAATATGCTGTACTTGGAATTGTGAGAAAATGTTCCTGTCCTGTAGGCAATGAGACACATATGAGCAATGGCAAATTAGATAAACATAGCTACTATCATTATCCAAAAGTCACAAAGCAGCTCTGCTAAAACATAAATAAGTAAACTTCAGACAATTCCATTCTCTAAGACTACCAGTGAGTGGATTTGTATACATATTCTATATGGACCCAAATACCAGTTTTGCCAAATGTATCACACTTCAGCTATGGTACCTTAACAATACACGGTAAATAAAAGACACATTAATTATGAATGTTTATAGCACTCAAGCAGATAAAATGAAAAATTAACATGCTATTATATTCTCTCATTTTATCAAAATACTTACACTCTTTGAATGAATTCTGGAAAAAGTAGTGTATGGGGCCAAAAACTTTGAGGATGCATTTTCCTTTGGACAAGAAATATGAATGCTTTTCTAAATAGAGAGGGAAAGATGAAATTCATCAGTAAAATTACTCCAGTGGAATGAAAGGCTCTTAAAGAAAACATCAGGATGATAGCAAATTCTCATTTTTCAAATGTACCCTCTCTAATCCTCCTTTGCCAGCTTACACTACCACTCCCCTGTAGATTAGCAGCCCTTTTACTGCAAAGGGCTGCAATGTAATTTGGTATTGCTTTGCTGCCCTTATCTTTTTATATCGAAGTAAACTCCCATAGAAGGTGAACCAACAGGAAGATACAAATGACAAATATGAGAGCATTAATTTTTAAAAGAAAATCTAATACCAGTACTCTCAGTTAGCAGTGGGGCAAGAAACAGGATTAACAGATAGGAGGAAACAGCACCAGACTCCAAGTCTAGCACCTAAAAGACTAGTCTAAAAGCTAACTTACTGCCTATAGGAACTTTTAGGAAAAAATGTTAGACTACTGACATCTATAGTTACCAGAGAAAACTGGTAAATTATGGTACACTTATACGATCTGTAGGCCCTGATCAGGCTTGCAGTGCCCATTCCTACCTAGGACTTAAACTGATCATCCATGTTCATAGACTGCTCAGAGCCCCACAGCTGTATTAATTCCCCACGTGTTTTGCTAGTCATTATAACATATCTTTCCACTATTGTAGCAAGAAACACTGGTGACATAGTTGAATGGTGACATTCAAACTATACCTAGAAAAAGATGTTAGGTTCAGGTGACATGACCTGCATAAGGCAGCCTTTGTAACCATTTAAGATTAAGTATGTTGGTATTTCAAGGTAGCATGTATAGAGGCATAAAAGGCTTAGTAAACCCTTCAGGGTTTCTTGCAATATGATAGTCCTTTAATCTAACTGGCTGAATACCAACACCACCACCTAAGTGTGCATCTCCTATAGGGAGCTGAGGAGCTCCGCTCACCAAATGGCCCCTAACCTGTTATCCCTTCTGCAGCAGTACTTCAAAGTTTCTGGAAATTCTGCTGAACAATGAAAATGTCTTTAAAAGTCAAGATTTTCTAAACCTCTTTCTAAGACTAAAATACATACAGCAAACACAGGTCCTCACAGTTCTTTAGAAAGAACAATTTCAAAGTAATAACATTCTCATCACTAAAAATCAAAACGCTCTTATTACAAGTCTTCTGCTCCTTTAAAAAGACAATTAGAATATCTGTCTACATAAACAATACTTTCTTAGCCAGCATATCCGTATGTGGCTGCCTGCAGGCTTTTCATTAAATGAGTTTTCACTTCAAACCCCATGAGAAAATTCATACAGCTGCAAGGGAGTTGACCTGGATTTGGAATTGCCTCCTGTACCCAAAACTAAAAGTGTCAGCTAAACTCTCCTGGCTTAAATATTCCTACCAGCAAGGATTCAGGGAACTCCAAGAACTTAGTGTTCAGGCATCTGTAAGAATTAGGTTTGTTCTCAGAAGACTTCATTTCTTTGGGACTAATTATGCAAAAGATTTGAAGAATTAGTAGTTTTTTCCTGCTTATCAATTGAGCAAATCAACCTTTAATCTATAAACAAACTATGGAGGAAGAGAAATGTTGAACTACCTTCCAATATCAGCAGTAGAGAATCATGCTATTATTGAAAATATTTTAGTGAAAAGCTGCAGGAGATATCAAAACATAAAATTCAGGGTGGGGGGTCAGAGGAGGAACGTGGGCATTCCACACTAAGATAAAATTTAAAGTCAAACTTTTTTATCCTCCAGGATTAGGTATTTAAGCATAATCTACTGTTCAACAGAACAATGCAGCAACATCAAATAGCAAAGTGCCTCATGGCAATTAGGAAACAAATAAATGCTCAAGCATAAGCACTTACTGTCTGACCCAGCAGGTACAAGGCAGAAATTAGCAACGATGTTGGAAGAGATAAGGACTGTATCAGGGCCTACGTATGAAGGGAAGAAAGGAATTCAGCACTGAGGCTGTAGATGGATACTGGTAAAACACCTGGGAAAAATGTAGGCTTGCAAGGTAGTGTTCATACTTGGAAGTTTATAGAACTGGTTTCAATTCTGGTATACAGTCTAACTAGCTTTGATTATTAGGGTTAATAAACCTCTCTGAGTCTGTTTGCTTATATGCAAAATGGAAATTTAAAATGCCAATCCCACAGGATTATTATGATGAACAACAACTCACTTTTGTAAGATTTTACAGTTTCATTCATATGCAGTCTCACTTGCTGTTAAATCAGTCTATAGGTAGAGTATCATCTCCATTTTACAGATGAGGAAACTGAGGCTCAGAGAACTAAGTTCTTTGTCCAAAATCATATTACTAGTGTCAGAGTTAACTAAAACTTGAACTCAGATCTTCTGACAGTTTCTACTATACCATAGCTGTTTATGAAAAACAATTGCAAAATATATATAATAACATATAGCCTATTACCTTGCACAGAGGACAATAAATGAACATTTAAAGTCTTATGTAAAAAAATATCATCTATTCTTACCAGTATACCTGTAATATTTCACAACTAAAAAAAAATTTAATTACATCTCACTGACCAGAGCATACTGACTACAGAATGAGTAAGGAAAGTCAGGTCATGGATTCTGCAATACTTAGTTTGGCTATCTATTCACCTCAAAGACCAATGAGAAAAACTATTAAGTACTATTAATGTAGGTCTTCATCAAGGCCTAGCCAGATACATTATAAAGGCTTTGCTGTCCAATATGGTAAATACTGGCCACATGAGGTTACTGAGCATTTGAAATACAGCCAGTGCATATGAAGAATGGCATTTTTTATCTTATTTAAAGTTTAATTTAAAAACTGATACTTGCCTCAGTTTTTGGAAAACTTTTTAAGTATATCTGGAACTACCTGGGTATGTGAATCTATGTTCTCAACTGTCAATTTATACAACCTAAATACATTTATCAAATATTTTCAATAAAAAATTAGAGTCTGAATTGAGATGTGTGGTAAATGTAAAATATACATGGGATCTCAAAAACTCAATAAGAAAAAAGGAATGTACAATATCTCACTAATAATTTTTAATATTAATTACAAGTTGAAATAATATTTTAGATTTATTGGATTAAATAAATATATTATTAAAATTAATTTCACCCGTTTCTTTTTACCTTTTTTATGTGGCTCTTAGAAAATTTTAAATACATATGTGACGGGGCGCCTGGGTGGCTCAGTTGGTTAAGCGACTGCCTTCGGCTCAGATCATGATCCTGGAGTCCCTGGATCGAGTCCCACATCGGGCTCCCTGCTCGGCAGGGAGTCTGCTTCTCCCTCTGACCCTCCCCCCTCTCATGTGCTCTCTCTCATTCTCTCTCTCTCAAATAAATAAATAAAATCTTTAAAAAAAAAATGCTGATTCTTATTAAATAAATAAATAAATACATATGTGGCTTACATTATTTATCTATTGGACAGCACTGATATAAGGGAAGAACAAGTAAATGCAACTAAAAGTATCTCAAAGTATATGTAACTACAGAAGAAAAAAAAACTCTTGACATCCAAAGGCAGTAAAAATTGTGATTACTATACAAACAAAATAAAGATGACACAGATATATAAATAATAGTATAAATATTTAAAATAGATACATGGGTACTACCCCAGTTTTGGACCCAGTGTCATTTAAGACATAAAAACCTACCTTGTTTATCTCATTCACAATAAATCCTTCTGAAGCTGTAACTTCTGGGATGCCATCCTGGCCAATTCCTTGACAAGTCAGGCTGCCATACAAAGTTGGTTTCCCTACATAGCACAAAAGAAGCATGTCTCAAGAAAATAATAAGAATTTAACATTGTTCTCCTTGAAGACTCAATTCAGGCACTTGTATAGATGGTAGGAAATTGGTTCATGAAAGAAAAGAAGGTACTTGTATAAAGTAAGGTGAAGTGGAAAAAGCCCTAGCCTGGGTGAACCTAATTTGGGAGGGAATATGCGCAAGAGCTAAAAACTAGGCACAAATATTTAAAATTATAGCATTTGTGAGAAAGTTACTAGAGGGGTGCCTGGGTGGTGCAGTTAAGCTCCCAACTCTTGATTTTGGCTCAGGTCATGATTCAGGGTCGTGATCTCAGGGTTGTGAGATGGAGCCCCACGACGTGCTCCGAACGCAGCACAGAGTCTGCTTGAGTTTCTCTCCCTCTCCCTCTGCTCCTGCCCCCCACTCTCTCTCTCTAAATAAATAAATAAATCTTAAAAAAAAAGCTACTAAAGTGATCTAAACTCGGTTTTCCTGACTGTGAAATGAAATTCTTCCAGGATGAAAGATGAAGATCAACATGCATATATGCATTTATCCACAGTATATACATATAATACATAGCAAAGAGTTAAGCTTCAGTAATCTAAAAAATTTGCTTAAGGAGAACACTGCTTTTGCAGTGATGGGGGCTAAATAAGATATCCTACACATAAACTGGTCAAGAACATTTGAAGATTATGAGCATTGTGCATGGAGTTTGAGCCAAGAGAAAGTATGAAGCTCTCTTCTAAGGGTAGTAAATCCCCTATCTCTAAAGGGAAGGCATATCAGTTTGGGCATATGAACATTACCTGGAGGGTGACAACTCAGCCAGGCTTCCCCTTCATCCTTCCTATGAAGAGAGACAAAAGACTAATTAGGCTCATTCAATGCTGAAAAGGATGCCACTGGTGCAAGAGAGAAAGATATAATTTTCAGTTTGGACTGTACTTAGGTATGATCCAGTCTAATATCTCATCCAGGCATAGATCATTATAAGACAAGTTTTATTTATTAAAGAAATATTCATGGATTAAGTGTTTTGGTTTTTTTTAAGATTTTATTTATTTATTTGAGAGAGAGAGAATGAGAGAGAGCATATGAGAGGGGGGAGGGTCAGAGGGAGAAGCAGACTCCCTGCCAAGCAGGGAGCCCGATGCGGGACTCGATCCAGGGACTCCAGGATCATGACCTGAGCCAAAGGCAGTCGCTTAACCAACTGAGCCACCCAGGCGCCCCTAAGTGTTTAATGCATAGATGTCTATTGTTTAAATGAATATTCAAATATTTCGAGTTCACTGTTCATTTATAAGCTACACAGCTTTGAAAAATCACGAATACTTTATATTTAGATATTTGTTGGGATTATTGTAAGCAAAGCCCTGTGCTAGACACTTTGCAAACAGTATCATTAATCCTCACAATTTAACAAAATGCCTTTTATTATCCCCATGTTAAAGATAAAACTGAAGCTCAGAAAAAAGTGACTTGCCCAAGGTCACCTAGCTATCTGGAAAGCAGGAACTGAAACAGGACGAGTACACAATGTCCGCATTCTACCAGCTCACACTGACTTTTTACATGTTTTAGAATGCACCTCCCCAATCATCCAAATCTTTATTTTAATACTCTAACATTTTTAGGTTATAGTGAAAAAGACCTACACTTTTAAGACAGAAAGATTTAGGGGCACCTGTGTGGCTCAGTCGGTTAAGCATCTGCCTTTGGCTAAGGTCATGAACCCGGGATCCTGGGATGGAACCCTGCATCAGGCTCCCTGCTCAGTGAGGAGCCTGCTTCTTCTTCTCCCTCTCCCCCTGCTCATGCTCTCTCTCTCAAATAAATAAATAAATAAAATCTTTAAAAAAAAAGACAAAGATTTAGGTTGACAGTAACTCTCTCACTTATTGGCTGCAAAATCTTGGACAAGTTACTTCCTCTGATTCCTCTCCTGCATTCTCTCCTAGGCACCTGGTGGCCCTCAGTAAGTGTCAGTGTTCTTCCTTTATTACTTATCACACATTCTGTTTTGTAGTAATGTGTATTTTATTTTAGCTCACATAGTAAAGCGTAATTTTCTTAATTGCAGAAAGCTTATGTTTTCATCTTCACCATGGTTTCAATTTGAAAAACCCTTATTAGTAATAACAGCTGACATTCATGGCACTGGTGTACTCATCCTGGTGCAGAGTAATAACTTGCACAGTATGTGATCAATAAATGTTAAATGAATGGTTTGCTGTGCATCCCCAATTAAGCTGTCGGCTTCTTGAAGGCAGGAGCCACCCTTTAAATTTAGCTTACTCATACTCCACACGCAGACAGCCTGGACATAGTGGGAGTTACACTGTTTCCTGAATAGAATTGTCCAATATGTCTAACACAGCACTAGGGGTCCAAGGAGTATATAAAGATTTCATCATAAACTCAAAGACAACGTGGAGGTGGCTGAGTACTAGGACCTTTGCAAATAACTAACGATCAGTAAATATTTGCTAAATGGCTGTGACTTATCGGCCAAGAGTCTTCCTGCCTCCCAGTTTTCCTGTCTTTCTCCAACTCATTGATCCTAGCTCTAACACTGAGATCACAGCCATATATGCTGCCTTGGCCTCAGGACAGCTCTGCAGAGTATGAAAACCAATGACCATGTGGGTTTGCTACATCCAGTAATCCCTCAACAAATGATGAAGGTAATCCCTATCCTGAACTGGGTACAGCTCTCCTCAACGCAAAGACAACATGCGTTACCCTCCTCCGTCCCAGTTCTTGGCCTTCATTCACCTGAGGGCTTGAGCCCAGTCGCTCTGAATCCTCAAAGGCGCCGCCATCTTTACCCTTCCTCCACCTGCCCGCCTCTTCCGCTTTTTGCTGGAAGTGGGTCGTCAAAGGGGCCGCGACGGACTGGGGGGCGGGCTCTATACTGAGAGGCCACCAATGAATACGCGTGACGGGTTCCTCTCCTCCCACTTCCGCGCTCAGCGCTCCCCACCGGAGGCTGGTTTTCGGCCGGAGGGTCGGAAGCGTTCCAAGTGCCTGCAAAACGGACGCCGACGTGCTGGAACGCGCGTCCGAATTCTCGTGTCCGAGCTGTTCGGTGAGCACTGCCCACCGCGTCCTTGCGCGGTAAAGCGTAGCGGGCACAGCGGGACTGCGGCTGGCTGCCACGTGCGCGCATGCGTCCTCTCGTTAAAGTGGGAGAGTAGCTGCCCGTGACTCGGACAGTTGAATTTCCCATGCCTTCCTAGTCCAGGCCAGCTGCCGACCGCATAGCTTGCCCTGATCTCCAAGCATGGGTCTTCCTCTTTTTACTCCAGGCAAGACTGAAGCCGGGGTGTGGTGGGGAAAGAGTACCGTGGCATTTACTGAGCCCTGTTGTCCATGCACTTCTCTCTCACTATCATATTAATCCTTACATTAAATCTGTGAGTTAAATATTATTAAGGAGGAAGCTAAAAAGATTGTATGGTAAGATGTGGTACTGGTATTCGAATCTGGATCTCTTGGCTTAGAATCCAGGGCACTTTTTCTGTACAGTAATAAAAACTCATCTATTGAACTCTTTGGACGTGCCAGGCTTCTTACGTGCCTTATCTCTTTTAGACTTCAACAATCTTGTGAGGTAGACACTATCTCTGTTTTTCAAGAGAGATTATGAAGTGATTTTCTTAAGGTCACCCAGTGAGTCAGTGACAAAACTAGGTTTCCAATCCCGGTCTCTTTTCAAAGCCTATTTACCCCCTCCTTCCTTAGGTTATACCGCCTCCAAGTTTTGGGTAAGGGTATGGAGTCCTTAAATCCTTGTAATTTCCCTATTGCTTAACGTGGCCAACAAGACCTTGCTATGATTACTTTGTCAGAGCGCCAGTTTCATTTGTTTTACAGTTCTCTTCATACGCTATTCTCCAGTCATACAGAACTTTCAGTTCCTTTCCTGAGTCAAATCCTGCCTCAACCTGTGCCCCTGCTCTTCCATTGACTGGAAATATTCCTTCTTCCCATCTCTGGCTAACTCCTATTCATCCTTCAAGTCTCAGTTTAGAAATCACTTCCTCCAGGAAGCCTTCCCCACTGTTCCTGCCATGTCTGGATTAGGTATTCCTCCAATGTGTTCCCAGTCTTAGGTATCTTTGCACACTGCATTGTAATCTGTTTATTATCTAGATTGTACACCATTAAGGCGGGAACTAAATCAGTCTTGGTAACTCCTGTATCCTCTAGTGTAGTACCTCATACATGATAGGTACTCAGTGATTCTTTGTTGAATGAACCAGAGAGACACAGGAAAGGCATTAAAGGGTGCTAGTTCCTTTAAAGCCTGTCATGGTGAAATATGTGTAAATGCTGAGGTTATTTCCCTTCAAACCTTTCTCAAGTTCTTTCTGTAGGCTACTTTCTGCCGGATGCTCTGAAGCAGATGATCTTGGAAAGACAGTCTGGGCAAATCCACCTCACCTTAAGCACTCTCACCCCACAGACTCATCTCTTGCCCTGGCCCAGGCACACTCTATGCTACAGCCACACTGAACTCTCTATTATTCCTATATGTCAAACCCTACCTATATTTGGGTACTCTCCCAAGTGTTAAACTGTGTTCTTTTCCAACCATAGGAAAAGGCTAATAGGAGAAAAGAAGAGAAATTAATTCTTTTGGGGTGGATCCAAGACAGCTGCTCCAAAAAGGTAACATCTCACCTAATTCAAATTCCATTAGCAGAATCCACTCAAGCTTATTTAGTACTGTGATAAACATTCTCATATACTTTATGTCATTCCATTGAGTTCAAACCATTTTGCAGGTCTATTCTCTTGCCAGGCCTACTGCCGATGGCACCAAGGTGAATCAGGCCCAGTATCTGTTCTCAATTAAGCTTATAGTCTCCAACGGGAGACAAATGTATAAATAGGCTATAACAGTGCAGTTTGGTCAGTATTATTTATAATAGTGGAACCTCATAATCACATCCCTACTCTAACCTTGCCTCCATTGATGTTCTAGAGACTCCCAAAGATGTCAACTCAAGGCCATACCTGGGCCCGACAGGTGAAGAAGGAAGATGAGGAAGAGGACCCGCTGGACCAGCTGATCTCCCGTTCTGGCTGTGCGGCTTCCCATTATGCAGTACAAGAGTGCATGGCCCAGCACCAGGACTGGCGACAGTGTCAGCCACAGGTACAGGCCTTCAGGGACTGCATGAGTGAACAGCAGGCAAGGCGCAGGGAGGAGCTGCAGAGGAGGAAAGAGCAAGGCAGTGCCCACCACTGAGACCCCAAACCACCTATCCCCAGAGAATGGCCCTGTAGAAACTAGCACCCAGAGAGGTCTTAGGAAGAAGTCTTGAACAGCAGAAGTGTGGGCCAAGAGGTATAAAACTCGGGGATTATTTTTGGCTAAGACTGACATTGAGAGCCGGGCAGCTGTGGGTTTGGACATAACTGCTGTAAAGAGCTGTGATCTTGCTTTCTCGTGTGGCGGCGAGAGCGGAGAGTGCGCCATGAAGGCTTCGGGAACACTGCGAGAGTACAAGGTGGTGGGGCGCTGCCTGCCCACCCCCAAATGTCACACTCCGCCCCTGTATTGCATGCGAATCTTTGCACCTAATCACGTTGTCGCCAAGTCCCACTTCTGGTACTTTGTGTCTCAGCTGAAAAAGATGAAGAAGTCTTCGGGGGAAATTGTCTACTGTGGACAGGTGTTCGAGAAATCCCGCTTGCGGGTGAAGAACTTCGGCATCTGGCTGCGCTATGACTCACGCAGCGGCACCCACAACATGTACCGGGAGTACCGGGACCTGACCACTGCGGGCGCCATCATCCAGTGCTACAGAGACATGGGCACCCGACACCGTGCCCGGGCTCACTCTATCCAGATCAGGAAGGTGGAGGAGATTGCAGCCAGCAAGTGCCGCCGAGCAGCCGTCAAGCAGTTCCACGACTCCAAGATCAAGTTCCCGCTGCCCCACCGGGTCCTGTGTCGTCAGCACAAGCCACGCTTCACCACCAAGAGGCCCAACACCTTCTTTTAAATGCAGAGCCTCCCTGTCTCCAGCTCTGCTCAAATAAACTCTTTGGGGAAACAAACAAACAAAAAAAACTGTGATATTTTCTTTTTTTTTTTTTTTAAGATTTTATTTATTTATTTGACAGAGAGAGACACAGCGAGAGAGGGAACACAAGCAGGGGGAGTGGGAGAGGGAGAAGCAGGCTTCCCTCCAAGCAGAGAGCCCGACGCGGGGTTCGATCCCAGGACCCCGGGATCATGACCTGAGCCGAAGGCAGACGCTTAATGACTGAGCCACCCAGGCGCCCAAAACTGTGATATTTTCATGGTGAGATGCCAAACATCCTCACCCATCATGTTCCACCAATATTAAATATTAACTGATAGTAAAATAAAGAGTGGGGATGTTCTTCTGTCCTACATCTTGGGTCAGTGTGCCAAGTACTGAACTGATTACATGAACGTTTAATTTTAAAAGTAAATTCACAATCTGAATGTAAATTGGTTACTAATCAGGTCTTCATTTATTCAGTCATTGGTTCAACACATGACTGACAAGTTTTTCTAAGACCTTTCCATGTGCCAATTCCTGTGTGAATGAATAATATGATCTGATGTGATGAATAATAGGATCTCTTCTTTCATGTTACTTAGTCTGGTTTGAGGGGTAGAAATAACACATTAGAACAACTAATTACTAGCCATTATGTAAGTGCCTTTATCTTTCAGTAGTTGATCTGGATGTTTCATTCAGTCTAGTAGAAGGAAGAAAACAAATGGGAAAATAAACATTGAGTGCCTCTCTTATATGCCAGACAGATGCAGAGTCTGACCTCAGCATGCTACAACCCAGCAAACACACAACGTTAGCCTGACATTTAAAAGGCACGTTTAGGGTGCCTGGGTGTCTCAGATGGTTAAGCGTCTGCCTTCGGCTCAGGTCATGATCCCAGCGTCCTGGGATCGAGTCCCACATCGGGCTCCCTGCTCCTTGGGAGCCTGCTTCTCCCTCTGCCTCTCTCTCTCTGTCTCTCATGAATAAATAAAATCTTTAAAAAATAAAATAAAAAAATAAAAATAAAAAAAATAAAAGGCACGTTTAACAGGGGCTCCTGGGTGGCTCGGTCGGTTGAGCGTCTGCCTTTGGCTCAGGTCATGATCCCGGAGTCCTGGGATCAAGCCCCACATCGGGCTCTCTGCTCAGTGGGGAGCCTGCTTCTCCCTCTGCCTACCACTCTGCCTACTTGTGCACTCTCTCTCAAATAAGTAAAATCTTAAAAAAAAAAAAAAAGTGGCTGAATCCCATTTATGCCATAAAAAAATAAAATAAAAGGCATGTTTAACATAAAATACAGATCTTTAGCTCTTAAAAAATGGAGAAGCTATCATCATGGAGCTTATATTCCTACTTGACAACTTGCTGGAACTGAGTAACAATTCTGCTTTTAGGTGGTTGTATTCTCCAGTCGATAACTGTTGCCATTGCTTCTCATTTTTCTTCCATGGAATTACGTTGCCCATTCTGTTTTCTGTCTAGCCCTGTAAGGCATTTGGTAGTGGAGAAGGAGTTGGAAGAGTAACTCCTGCCATCGAAGCTGGAATGCAAAGGGGCATATGCTCTCATCATCATCAGTAACATTTGAGCATCTATATATTAGAAGCACAAATCTGAAGTATAGTAGGCCCTAAAACTACTTTGAGTCTTTGTGTTGGTGACTGGGGAGGAGAGAAAGAGAAAAGAGGGGAGAAGATAGAGGAATACCAGTTTAAAGAACAATAAAATCCAATTAGACAGAATGGGATGACTGTGGGGCCCTGTCTGCTCAGTACTATGGGTCATCAAAGAGAGCAGTGTGGACTGGAGCTTTCAGCAAGAATCTCAAAGAAGGGAGTTAGTTGAGTTGAACCTTGAGTGATGAAGGAAACATTACCTCTTTGTAACATATAACAGAAAGGAATACCATCTACAAGTAAAAAGTACCTAGAAATAAGGAGTGCCTGGGTGGCTCAGTCAGTTAAACGTCCAACTCTTGATTTTAGCTCAGGTCATGATCTCGGGGTCCTGAGATCAAGCCCCGTGTCGGGCTCCACACTGGGCGTGGAGCCTGCCTAAGATTTTCTCTCTCTCCCTCTCTGCCTCTCCCCACCAACCCCCCAAGCTTGCTTTCTCTCATCTATCTAAAAAAAAAAAAGACAGTACCTAGACATCGGTAAGAAGCAAACAGCCCAATTGAAAACTGAGCAAAGTTAAAGTAGTATTAGCTATGTCTATTGACAAAAATCAAAAGTATTTATAACAGCTAATATGGGTGGGGATGAAGAAGAACAGGCACAATTACACTATTGAAGGGATAATAAAGCTATTGGAAGACAATTTGTTGGGATCTATATATATTTTATCTTTTTAAAAATATTTGAGAGTGTGCCCACGTGCATGGGGGGAGGGGCAGAGGGAGAAGGAGAGAAGCAGACTCTGCTCCATGGGGTTTGATCTCACGACCCTGAGGTCATGACCTGAGCTGAAATCAAGAGTCATCACTTGGGTGCCTGGGTGGCTCAGTTGGTTAAGCGACTGCCTTCGGCTCAGGTCATGATCCTGGAGTCCCTGGATCGAGTCCCGCATCGGGCTCCCTGCTCGGCGCGGAGCCTGCTTCTCCCTCTGACCCTAACCCCTCTCATGTGCTCTCTCTCATTCTCTCTCTCTCAAATAAAAATCTTTAAAAAAAAAAAAATAGAGTTGTCACTTAACTGAGCCGTCCAGGTGCCCCAGGATCTATAAATATTTTAAATATTTATATATTTACTGGCTGGATCAGTCAGAAGAGTATGTAACTCTTGATCTCGGGGTCATGAGTTTGAGCCCCATGTTGGGTTTAGAGATTACTTAAAAAATTAAAAATACATATTTCAACAGCAATTCTTTTAGGAGCCCTCTTGAATATATTTTTATAAGATGTTTATACTATTATGTTCACTGCAACATTGTTTATATAGTGAATAAATTCACAGTGTAAAACTCCATCAATAAGGACTATATTTGCTTACATATTCAAATCTTTTATAACAGGAATGTATCTGTGTATTAAATTTGTGTGATTAAAATAGAAATAATAGTCTATGGGGAGGGTGGGTGGGATTCTAACAGAGAGGAAGGGCAGAAGGACCCTCCCTAGCAGGAGGAATAGCTTCCAAACTAGCTAAGTGCAAGTTTTGTAGGACTCCACCTCTAACAGGGAGCCAACACTGGGTGGGTCACAGAATGCATTTGGGCAAAGAGGGCTTTGTTGCCACTCAAACCTGTTTCCTCAAGTAAATGGGGATAATTCCTATTTAATAGGCATACTTAGAGAATTATTATTTTTTGGCATAGAGGATTAAATGAGGGATAATATATAAATAGCAAATAATAAAAATTATTAGCATTTTTTGAACTATTACAACTATTATAATATTTATATATAATGTATGTATATAATAAATATTGTTATATAACATTTATGAAGCATTTAACTCAGGCTGTTTGGTTCCAGTTTGCTCTCAATCTCTATGACATACTGCTTTCAAATCTCACTATGCCACTTACTAGCTGTGTAGTTTGGGGCAAATTACTCAACATTTCAGAATCTGTTTTTTCTTCTGTAAAAATGCATATAAAACCTTCCTCATAGGCCTTAAAACTAATAAATGTAGACTTTCCTCATTGACTTGTTGAAAGAATTAACCTTGGTAAAGGGCTTAGAAACAGTGTCTGGTACACAGTAAGCATTCACTAAATGTTGCCTATTAACGTGATTATTATTGTGTGCTAGGTACTCTCCTGAGTTACATTTTCTCCTTAACTCCATTAACTCCCCTTTACAGAGGAGGAAATAAAGGTGAGATTGGGGGTTAGACTTTCAAGTGTGTCTTATTCTGAAGTCTATGCTGTTCTCTGTTCTGTGCACTTATAATCTTCCACTGCCTAGTATGATGCTTAACAAAGAGTAAATAACTACATTTACTATGTAAATATTACAGGTTTGTTTGGTTGGTTGATTGGCTTTTTTTTTTACAAAATGCAGGTTAACCAGTGCACATTGTCCACAATGTTCTAGATTGGCATGTTTTTTTAGTCTCTCAGCTCTGGAGCCCATAGCCATGGAGCTGTAATTTAAGGTGGTCCATGCTTGTCCGGAATAATCTATACCCACCTCTGTACAGAGGCTTGGTGCCCCCCCCCTCCCGTGGCTATTGAGTTGGCCCTTCCCTGCAAGGTCCTTGGCTGGGGACTTGGCCTGTGCTCAGCACAAAGTTGCATGGTAATGTGTTTTACTAGGTGAGTAATAAGAGATGCCTCCCACTCTCCCTCCCTCAGGTAAAGTTGCCAGGCTAAGTCCTTGGGCTGCTGACAAGAAATCCAAAGAGAACTGGAGCCAGTCCAGGTTGAAACCTTATACTTCCCACTGTATAAAATGATAGGGTTCCCTACTCTGCTCCAGCAGGGACTTAAAGCAGGCAGAAATGGGAGGATTCTTTACACCTTTAGCAGCTATCTTCTGAAGAGTTTTCATTCTTTGGAGCTTGGGCATCTTTCAGAGCCTGGGCATTCTGTCTAAATGGTAAGCTAAACCTGAAATGACTGGGAATGAAAGTTATCCCAGGGGGATTTATAAAAACTAAATATATCATTTCAAATTCTCCAAGGAGACCACACATTTGAAGACAAAAATGGCACAAAGAGATCAAAGTATAGATTAAACCAGCACAAGACACACTGGCCACCTGCAGTGCCTTTCCAGCAGATCTAGTTCTAGACACACCCAATGCATGCTCAGAGAGCTTTCCTTCCTTAAGTACAATTTACACCCTAGAAACAGGGGTCTCTGGGCATTGCTACAATGTCTCAATGGCCAAAATGTCCAGATTTCATTTCTTCCTCTGCAGCTAAAGCCTACCCTTGCAGAGTCCACAGCTGGCAATCTCCAGCCTTCTGTGGTGGCAGAACAAGGAAGGCATCCTCAGCCAGAGGAAGGGAACTAAAACATGAACTTGAGGAATCTGTTGGCCTTAACTAGGAAGACTGCCCATTCAACCCAGGCATTCAGTATTCTTGGAAGTTACTGATCTACAAAAAGCCATTTCTCAAAATCTCAGTAATGTGCACTAAACCAGGAATTAAGTGAACTGCAATGATCCCGGGCTGGCATTAGCTAACCTTGGACGAGTCTGTTTCCCTCTTAGGCCAATGATCTCATCTGTAAAATGAAGATTATCCCAAATGTGCACTGATGAAGGCAAAACCAGCACCCAGCTGTTCTGAATCCCAGTCCATTGACCTTTCCTCTCGTCTCTCCTGCCTACCCCTCATGTTATCACAGTGATTCTAGGCACAGTTTAACCGTAACTGGAACACTGAAAACTTAAAGTATGCTGAAGGAATGAACTACTGATAGACACAACAGCATGGATAAAACAGGGTAAATGAAGTCAGACACAAAAGGGTATATATTGTATGTTATTTATATGCAGTACTAGAAAGGCAAAACTAATCTGGGGCACTAGAAACGAGATTAATGGTTGCTTCTGAAGAATGACTATGAAAGAATGTAAAGGAACTTTCTGGGGTTATGGAAGTGTTATCTTGGTAGAAGTATAGGTTTCACGGGTGACTGCATTTTTTTTTAGGTTTTATTTACTTAGTTAGTTAGTTGGTTAGTTAGTTATTTTAAAGGGTGGGGGTGGGAAGCAGAGGGAGAAGGGGAAGCAGAGGGAGAGGGACAAGCAGACTCCAGGCTGAGTGCAGAGCCTGACTCGGGGCTCAATCCCAGGACCCTGGGATCATGACCTGAGTCGAAGGCAGACACTTAGCGACTGAGCCACCCAGGCACCCCAAGATCTGTTGTTTCACTATAAATACAAATTATATCTCAATTAAAAAAAAAACTATTTAAAAGCATGCTGAAGAAGTTTAGAAGGGAAGGTAATCCAACACTTACTGAGCACTTGCTACCCATTTGTATACATTATCTCCATCTCAAATTCCTAAAAAGGGATTATTCCCATTTTACAGATCAGAAAACTGAGGTTTATGAGGTTAAAATAACTCACCTGAGGCCTTAAGACTAGTAAGTGTAGAAACTAGGAATAGCCCAGGTTTGTCTGACTCTTTCTTTATAATAAGTTGTCTCAGGGAGGGTGGGAGTTATTTTCAACCTTGTACAAGAAGATTTGCACTCCATTTGATTTCACTGCCATATGATTCTAGGAAAGTCCATTTCCTTCTGGACCAGATGAAGCTCGTAATTGTTTTGTAACTCTGAGGTTCTAGCAATAAGAATATCTCCCATCCTTCTTGCCAGGATAAGGCATTAGAAGCAATTTCCATTTATCTCAGAGCAGACTAAGGAGTAACAAAAGCTCTTTGACTCTGGCGAGAGGATAAATCAACTAGGTCAGTGACACAAGAGCTCCAAGGTGACAGAACCCTGCTGCCTCCTATTTAAGAGATAAACCTGACTCATCCCTCAGTGATGTAATGGAAAGGGATGGACTGGGAGTCAAGAGATCTGAATCCTGCTCCCAGCCCTGCCAATGAGGTGTGCTGTGACCTTGGGTAAAAGCACTCCCTTTCCTGGGTCTCTAACCTATTGCTAAAAGAGAGGATCGGGCTAGCTAGGTCCTAATGTTCTTCAGCTCTAGTGTCTTGTCAATTTATGAAATCCTGTGTCCTGCTTCCACAAATCACTAACAAGGAAAAGTGGGAAATGAAAAGAATGATATTTTCCACGTTCCTAAATAGAGTCCATATGGTATGGGGGCTGTGTGTATGTATTTGTAAACATCTGTTTATTCATCTTTATCTTCCTGTCACTATATATCCCCCAAATTACGCTCATCCATTAGCAACTTTTTTATCTTCCCTAAAGGAGACTCAGCAATGAGTAATTCTACAACCAAAATACTAGTCCTCACCTGAAAAATTCTGCCCACACTCCCATTGGGCTTCACTTGGAAGTAGTGGCCTGCTGAACCTTCAGTGTCAATTCAGAGAAGCATTTTAAGTGAAGGCACCTGCTATCTTGACAGCTCTCCCTTAGTGATATACCTTAGAAGGAAATCTGAGTTTCCTCTTGTTGCTTTTAGAGACCAAGGCAAAGAAACCAAAATAACTCAGGACTGAAACTGTTGAGTTTTAGAAAAGTACATGCAATGCTAAGAATGCTCTGGGCTCCCAAAGCCCTCTATGTAGGGGTACCCCACAGCAGCAGTGGAGTACGGGAGAGAAAGATCTGCCACTTACTAGTTATGTGACCCTTCAGGAGAAGGACGTCTCTTTATCTCTCCAAACCTCGGTTTTTCCATCTGTAAAACTGGAATAATACCAGCAACCTCAAGGGTAATTTTTATAAAGTACATAGCATAATGAGGGCTCAGTAAATGTGAGATACATACTCAGATACTCAAACGCACTTACACATAACCTTTTCACACACACAGATACCCACCCACATGCACACTCATATATACACCCTAAAAGACTGGTGTAAGGATAAGAGCTCACAAAGTACCTTGCACAGAGTCTAGCTCAATAAATGATCACTATTATGTACAAAAGTATGAACTCACTAATGCTCAAAATAGGAAAAACATTAGAGGTCACTTAGACTAGTGGTTCTCAAAGAGGTAACCTTGGACCAGTCGCATGAGCATCAGCATTACCTGAGAACGTGTAAGAAATGCAAATTCTAGGCCCTCACTCAAGATCTCCTAAATCAGAAAAAATGGAGGTGGAGTTCAAAAATTTGTGTTTAAAAAGCCCCCCAGGTGATTCTGATGTACACTTCAGTTTTGAGAACCAGTGACTTAGATCAGGGTCTGACAAACTATTTTTATAAAGGACACATGATGAATGTTTTGGTTTTACGGTCTATGTCATAACGACTCTGCCAGTGTGAAAGCAGCCCTAGACTATATGTAAGTGAACAACCATGGCTCTGTCCAATAAACAGGCAATGTGGTTTTAGAACTAAATATAGGTGGTAGTTGTACAACACTGTGAATGTATTAAATACCACTGAACTGTCTGCTTTAAAATGGTTAATTTTGTGGTTTGTGAATTTCACCCCAGTAAATTACTTTTAAAAAAACAAGCAGGCAGTCAGTGGAACTAGGCTCACAAGCAGGAGTTTTCTTTTCTTTTTTTTTTTTAAAGATTTATTTAATTGACAGAAACACAGCGAGAGAGGGAACACAAGCAGGGGGAGTGGGAGAGGGAGAAGCAGGCTTCCCGTGGAGCAGGGAGCCCGATGCAGGGCTCGATCCCAGGCCCCTGGGATCATGACCTGAGCTGAAGGCAGACGCTTAACGACTGAGCCACCCAGGCGCCCCGAGCAGGAGTTTTCTGACCTCTGACCAAGATCAGCCTTAATTCTTTGCTTAAACTCATTCCAGGTAACCCTAAATAGCAGTTATGTAATATCTGCCTGAATATGACGAGTCACTCACTACCCACAAAGCAGTATTTTCACTACAGCCAGACACTGATTCTATCTGAAGAGTTTTTTTCATATACAAAGCCAAAATCTCCATCCCTATGCCTTCTATCCATACGGGGTTTACTTATGTTATGATCCTCTGTTTCGCTAAAAGACTCGATGCCAGCTTGCTTGAAAGGATGAAATCACTCTAATTGGGGATATACTGAAGGGAAACATGCTTCTGTGCTAAAGAGAAAATATAATCCCTTAAAGATACTCCACAGGGGTGCCTGGCTGGCTCAGTGGGTGGAATATGACTCTTGATCTCGGGGTTGTGAGTTCAAGCCCACAATGGGTGCAGAGATTACTTAAAAATAAAATCTTAAAAAAAAAAAAAAAAGATATTCCACAGGATGGACTGACTTCTCACATGCCCATCAGCTGCAGATTTTTATTAGATGGAGGATGTCTTAGGTTGGCTCAAAGGAAAGTGGTGACAATTGGCAAGCACTTCTCCATACAAGAGAGGAGGCATTCCTGGCTCATAGGGATGGGTAGTTATGATATCTAAAGGTCAGGGTCTTCTGCTTAACTTTCACCACTCAGGAAGATCTTCCGTTTGGCACTCAATATCACCAAGCCTGACATGAAAGGGTCTGCAATGAGCTAGTTCAACTTGGCCAACAGTTCTTCCAGTTCTGGCCGAGCTTTGAACCTGCCCTTGAAGTCTTCTTCAGAGTGCTGGGGAGAAGAAAAAGAAAATAAGGGGAAATTACTACAGAGCTTTCAGTTATTCAAACATACACAGCATAAAAAAAAAAAAAATCCATCAGCCAGTTCTGTAGAGAATGATTCCGATTCAACTAACTTTTATTGAGTATCTACTATACACCAGACTTGTATTAGGTACCAAGGATTCTGAATCGGACTTTCTCCCTGCCTTAAGTGAACGCAAGAGTCTGGTGAGAGAAGACGGACACATAAGGAACGAATGTCAAATGCTAGGAGTATCTCATTAGAAGCACTTAAAGAGAGAGAATGCCCAAATTCTCCGTCTACAATCGGAAATAACAGACCTAGGGACTGGAATATTTAAATCAGCATTGCCAGCACATTTTCTCCTGTATACAGATCTATGTGAAACCCAAAAAACAAGAAGAGGATTAATAAGCATGGGCTCAGAACAAGGAGAGCTGGATGCAGCAAATGGCATCAGTCTAAAATGACCTGATGGATCTGTGTCACAACAAGGCTTGCCTCGGCAAACGGACCCAAATACTCAGTATTTAGGCTGAGGTTCCTAATGTTTTCCAAGTTTTCTATGCCAAACTTCCTTCTGATTGGCATTCTTTTCCCAGTCAGGCTACAGTCAAGCCTTGAAGATCCAGAAAAGACCTCTTTAAAGTACATTTCCATATTTGTGTTCTGATTAATTATACTGTATGTACTCTTGAATCATGTTCTTTCTATACACAATTACGGGCTCACCCCTAACATCGGGATACTGTGATGGAGTTCAACTCCTGTGGTCCATACCCATCAGCACTGATGCACTGGAAGGGCCAGGAAAATGATCACGGTAATACTGGTCTGCACAGCTTTTCTGTTTATTACCCACATTTCTGTCTTGTTTCTAAAGCCAGATGCTCTTATCCATATTTTGAGCACAGGTAGGCCACTAGGGGGCCTCTTCTCAAACTAGCACCTACCTCCTTCACTGACAATCTGACTCCTTCAGGAAGATTGCTTTGGATTATTTCCAAAAAAATCTCTGCAAATGTAGCATTCAAACCACTGATCTGCAAAAAGAAAGGAGATGCTCTGAGAGAGGGTAGTGAAAGCCAGGTGATTGGGCAGACATGGCATGGGCTCAAATGTCAGCTTCAGCAGCTATAGGGCCTGTGGGTGGAGGATTAACACACAGAGCTGGTTTCAGAGCCCAGCCTCTACAGGATTTCTCTTGCCATCAGCCAAGGGGTCTGCTTGCCGACATAGTCATGGCCAATATCTGCCCCTGTAGACAACAGATGTCATAACTGGACCAAGAGGTTATTAAGTCCAGGACGACTTTCTGATTCAACTCAGATTTACCCACATAGACCTGACTGGTGTCAGACCTTGTGCAGAGAATCCAGAGGTGAATCAGATGTGTGGTAGAAGGACATGCAGGGGGCTACAGGAACCCACAAGAGATATCTCTACCTAACTTGGGGGGGGTCAAAGACAGCCTCCAAAAAAGGTAACTTCTAGGTGGAGTCTTGAAGAAAAACAGGAGTAAACTGGGAGAATTCAGCAGTAGTATGGAGGGTTTTCTTTCTTTTTTTTTTTTTTTTTTTTTAAAGATTTTATTTATTTATTTGACAGAGACAGAGACAGCGAGAGCAGGAACACAAGCAGGGGGAGTGGGAGAGGGAGAAGCAGGCTTCCCTTGGAGCAGGGAGCCTGATGCAGGACTCGATCCCAGGACTCTGGGATCATGACCTGAGCTGAAGGCAGACGCTTAACGACTGAGCCACCCAGGCGCCCAGTATGGAGGGTTTTCAAGGCAGAGGAAACAATATTCAGTAAAATGTGGATGCATAGCACCGTACTACAGAATTAAAACTAGTTCCATGTGTCGCTACAACGAATGGGGTGAGAAGAGGAAAACCAGGAAGAGAATCATAAAAGTATTTAGGCACTAAAGAGTCCAAACTTTATCCTGTGGGCCTGAGTGGCAAGTTAGATCTTTAAGATCTGTATCCCAAATAATTTATTTATTTATTTATTTTTAAGATTTTATTTATTTATTTGGCAGAGAGAGACACAGCGAGAGAGGGAACACAAGCAGGGGGAGTGGGAGAGGGAGAAGCAGGCTTCCTGCGAAGCAGGAAGTGCCCCCAAATAATTTATTTCTGATATTTTAAAAACTAGATTGTTAAGTAGTTACTTACTTATTTTTTTTAAGTAGGCTCCGCGCTCAGGGGCGCCTGGGTGGCTCAGTGGGTTAAGAGTCTGCCTTTGGCTCAGGTCATGATCCCAGAGTCCTGGGATCAAGCCCCACCTGGGCGGGCTCCCTGCTCAGCAGGGAGTTTGCTTCTCCCTTTCCCTCTGCCCCTCCCCCCATGCGCATGTGCATACACTCTCTCTCAAATAAATAAATAAAATCTTAAAAAAAAAAAAAGTAGGCTCCACACTGTGTGGAGCCAGATGCAGGGCTTAAACTCATAACCCCGAGATCAAGACCCAAATTGAGATCAAGAGCTGAGCACTTAACCAACTGAGCCATCCAGGCACCCCAGTACTTAATTATTTTTAAAGTTAGCATAGATTTAAGGTGTTACTACCTTAACATTCCTTTCATTATCTTGCTGATATACTTCTTGAGTGGATCTAAATGGGGTGATGTCCATATGTTAGAATATTATTTGGCAATAAAAAGGAATGAAGCACTGACACGTGCTACAACGTGGATAAACCCTGAAAACACGCTAAGTGGAAGAAGCAAGACCTAAAAGGCCATATATTGTACAATTCCATTTAAATGTCCCAAAGAGGTAAAATCACAGAGGCAGAAAGAGATTAGTGGTCGTCAAAAGCTAGGGGAATGGGGAAAGAGGAGTGACTGTAAATGGGTAGTTTCTTTTTGGGGTGATGAAATTGTCCAAAAATTGATTGTGGTGATGGCTGCACAACTGTGAATATATTAAAACCCATTTAATTGTACACTTTAAAAGAGTAAATTGTATATGAATAAACTCTCAATAAAGCTGCTATAAAAAGGGGTGATATTAAGTGTGAATTTTTAATAACTCTGGGCACCCTCATGGTAATGTGGTTGTCATCCATCTGTCTCTGCAGTAAAACAACAGAAACCACAGCTAGATTTAAAGGGGTTTTGCTCTCAGCAGGTGCATGAATGGATATCAGAGGACAAAGAAGGGTTAAACATTAGACTCAAAGGTGGGGAGGATTATAGAAAAAGAAAAACATCAGTTCTTCTACAATTAGTTTTATATATGCTGAGTGTAAGACACCTGTGGAATATCCTAGTGGAGAAGTCCAATAAACAAGTGGATATCAGGTTTGAAGCTAAACCAAAAGGTCAGGATTGGAGATGTACATGTAGGGGTTATCAGTATATTATAACCCATCAGGACTAGGAGATATGTGTTAGGGGGTTGTCAGAATATAATGATGGTCATTGAGGCCTGGGAAATGAATGAAATTGCATAGAGGGAAGGTATTACACATGGAGAGATAGAGGGATCAAGAACTAAACCCTAAAGAACATCATCATGCAAGGGGCAGCCAAGAGGAAAAGAAGGGCCTGGTAGGAGAAAAAAGAGGCAGAAAAACCAGGAGAGGCAAGTATGTTTCAAGGTTCTCCCAGAGTACCTACCTGAACCACTCGCTCATGCGTGGTAAGAACTGAGTCCAGGAGCATTTTGCTGCCTTGGTCCTGCAGCCGCAACACCTCCATGGTTTTGGTGGGCATAGCATAACTATGGGAAGGAAGAGGGGACTGTGAAGGAGGCTCCCTTAAGTCAGCAGCACCACTTCCATCAGGGGGGTCCCTGAGTACAGCCACTTCCGCAATGCAGTAGCTCCTGGAATCTAGGGCTCTTCATCTGCAGCCAGGGGGAAGGAACCAGCTCCTCCTAAACCTTCTCCAGAAGCCTCTAAACTCCCTGAGGGGGCAGACTATGTCTAATGCCTTTCTACATCCCTAGTTCTTGCCTGACACAACACTGAATAAAATCTGGTGATGAATAACTTATTTGCTGCTACTAAAGAAGAGCCAATTCTAAAAGAATCAATGTCATCACTTTGGAGGCTAACCTTGGGTATTTCACCTCTTCGGGAGAAATAAGGCATGAAACCCAACTGTTTTCAAAGAGCAAGATTTCTCAACATCAGCACTGTTAACATTTTAGACCAAATAATTCTTTGTTGTGGGGGGCTGGCCTAGGTATTCCTAAACTCTACCCACAAGATGCCAATAGTACCCTCCAATGTGGTAACAATAAAAATTATCTCCAGGGGCGCCTGGGTGGCTCAGTCGGTTAAGCATCTGACTTCAGCTCAGGTCATGATCTCAGGGTCCTGGGATTGGCCCTGCCTTGGGTTTTGCACTCAGTGGGAAGGCTGCTTCTCCCCCTCCCTCCGCCCCTCCCCCTGCTCATGCTCTCTCTGTCTCTCTGTCAAATAAATAAATAAAATCTTAAAAAAAAAATTGTCTCGGGCGCCTGGGTGGCTCAGTTGGTTAAGCGACTGCCTTCAGCTCAGGTCATGATCCTGGAGTCCCGGGATCGAGTCCCATGTTGGGCTCCCCACTCGGTGGGGAGTCTGCTTCTCCCTCTGACCCTTTCCCCTCTCATGCTCTCTCTCACTCTCTCTCTCTCCAATAAATAAATAAAATCTTTAAAAATAAAAATTAAAAAAATAAAAAAAAAATTGTCTCCAGACACTGTTAAATGTCCCCAGCTTGAGAAATACTGTTGTAGAGACTGTGCTTGCTATGATCAGCTTCATAGCCATGAAAAGAACACTAGATTTGAGGTCAAATCTCAGCCCTGTGTCTTATTAGCAATATTTACTAAGGCAAATTACTTGTCTCTCTGGACCTCAGTTTCTTCCAGAATAAAGAGGATTACAATCTAGGTCTCTATCAATAGACGTGTGAAGATCAGGCATGGTGATGAGATAGGATCGATGGCTACACAGAAATGGGTACTAGTGCTGTGTTCGTCTTATCAGAAAGTTCACCAAAATGAAGATAAATGAAATAACAACAGTAGAATTCCTGAATTTTCATGTCACACAAAGCTTCATCAATTGATAGCAAGGGCCATGGCCCTCTACGAAATGAATAATGGATATAATGGAAAATGGACTAGAGACACAACAGTCAGTCCTGGATTTAAATATTGGCTCTGCCACTTAATTGCTATTTAACCCTGGACAAATTAATTCAGCTTTTGAGTCTCAGATTCTTTAGCTACAAAATGGAGATAATAAGGATAATAATACCTAGTTCATAAGGTTGTTGTAATGATTAAGTGAAATTACATAAGCAATTTGCCTGGCATAATATGCCTACAAACGCCAGTTCCCTTGCTCTTACAAACAGTAAATGCTAGGGGTGCCTGGGTGGCTCAGTTGTTAAGCGTCTGCCTTCGGCTCAGGTCATGATCCCAGGGTCCTGGGATGGAGCCCCGCATCAGGCTCCCTGCTCCGCAGGAAGCCTGCCTCTCCCCCTCCCACTCTCCCTGCTTGTGTTCCCTCTCTTGCTGTGTCGCTCTCTGTCAAATAAATAAAATCTTTAAAAAAAACAGTAAATGCTAGGTATTACAGACTCTTCCAGGTAACCTCCCTAAATAACATTCTTTCCCACTTTCCAGCACAATCTCTGACCTCCTCTTCCAATTCAAATTTGGTAATAACTTCCCTACATAAATAAGGACACATTCACAGACTTGTTATGGAAGAGCAAATAAAATAACTATGTAAAGCTTTCAGGAAAGTAAAAAGCACTCTAAAATGCTATTTTTCTTTCTTGACATTCTGCAGATAAGACTGACTGACTGAAGTGGGAATTGTCCATTCGTGCCACTGAGCATGCATTTTATTCTTCAACACTTACTAGCAAGATGTCTTTGATTTGTTCATTCACTCACTCATTCATTCATTCATTCATTCATTCAACAAACATTTACTGAAAGCCTGTTCTGTCCTAGGCATGCTGGTGGGCAATATGCAGCCTGTGCTTTAAAGGAGTCCGCTAAGAGTGTTTTGGAGAGACAAACATCTTCACTACAGTAAGACAAAGGCAATAATAGGCATGTACCGAATATTACAGGGACAAGAGAGAGAAAGGGGGCTCAGAGAAGACTTCACAGGCGGGATAGGCTTTTATCAAGATGTTAAAAATAAACATATAGGTGTTTGCCTGGAGAGCATTCCAAAAAGTGAAGCAGATCTACAAAGGCACGAGGGGCCCTCAAAGAGAACTAACAGAAAAGCCAGACATAGTTTGATAAAGAATACTGGGAACTCTGTTCATTTCAAAGTAGAATAGGCCTTTGAGTAGTTAAGAATATATGTAAATTTTCTTTAGTGTCTACACTTTTCTGCACTTTACAAATTTTCTGCAATAAACATTACTTGGATGATTAGACAGGAAAAACAGAAGGGAAGAAATGAAATAACTCAATGTCAAAAGTCAATCTAAAATGACAAACTAATGCTACCTTCGGGAAGTACTACCTGGGACAGGACACAAGGGAGACTGCTGGCGTGCTAGGGAACTTAAAATCTGTGGACGCTAGTAAATATAAATCATACCTCCATTTTACTTTTTTTAAAGATTTATTTATTTTTGAAAGAGAGAGACAGAGACCAAGCATGCATTTGCATGAGTGGGGGCCGGGAAGGGCAGAGGGAGAGGGGGAGGGAGAGAGTGAGAGAGAGCCTCAAGCAGACTCCCTGGCTGAGCCCTGAGCACGGATTCCCATGCAGGGCACCATATCACGACCCCAGACCATGATCTGAGCCGAAATCAAGAGTGGGAGGCTTAACCGACTGAGCCACCCAGGCACCCCTGTACCTCCATTTTAAACAATGTAAGTGGACTTCAAGAAAAAGGAAAAAAAAAAAAAAAGAGTAGCCTTACAGAGAGTGATGCTGAGCGATGCTTTTATTCTCCACAAAGCACAGGGGCTAGATCAGCTTCAGGCTGGGAAGCTGCTCCCAGATGAGTAAGATTTCCATCTCCAGGCAGCTGCTCAGCAAGGGAGGCAGGCAAATTAAGAGACCTGCAGGATAGGCTTCTTCCTCTCCCCTCCTGGGTGAGTTGCAGCTGCAGCAGTGCAGACCGTTTATAGAACAAAAGCCAGCACACCGCTCCCCTGCCCAATTCCATCTCAAGGTCAGAGCCCTACCCTGCCACTCCCAGAGGAAAAATGGATCATGATGAAATGAAAATCAGAAGAAAAGAAAATCATTTCATCTCTGAAAAGCTGGGCAGCGAGAATGCCTAACAATACGATGGTCTGAAAACCTCAATCAATGCAGGGCAGTGAGTTGCTGAAAATGAACATCTCTTTAGGCTTTGTGCTATTTGGAGCAAAGAGCAGAGAAGAGGCAAAAAGCAGCACATCATTCATTCTGCTGTTCTAGGAATCATGTCCATGACTATTGGAACTCAATCCAAGTCAGTGAATATTTATTCAGTGCTTACTATGTGTCAGGTACTGGGCAAGGTCTCAGGGTTAAACTGTTAATGAAGATAGAAACAGTCCTTGCCTTATAGATCTTAGAGTCTAAGAAGGAAGGCCACTAATCGTCAAGTAATTACGAGGGCAAGGAATGAGCGCTATGAAAGGGAAATTATATAATCTTTACTTCTCCTCAATATATAACATAAAGACCTAATTTAATGAGGTTCTCTGAAGAACTGACATCCAATATGAAGCCTAAGAAAAAAGTAGGGGTTAGTTACATAAAGGGGAAAGAGTATTCTAAGCTCTAGAGAGCAAGCATATGCATAGGTCTTGAGGTGGAAAGGGATAAGCCCCACTTTAACTGGAGGGAGAGGAAGAGGGGAAGGGAAATATGAGTTAAGGCAAGAGAAGCAAGCCCAGGCCATCAGGCACCTAGCAAGCCATGTGAGGAACTTTAACTCTGATCCTAAAGGAATGGGAAGCCATAGAAGGATTTTAAGGCATGGTAGTAACCTGATCGTATTTCCATTCTAGAAAGATCACACCGAAAGCTGTGTGGAGAACCAATTACGGGGAATTGAGAATTTGAAAAAAAGTGAGTTCAAATCCAGATCTTGCCATTTATTAGATGTATGACCATAGGCAAGCTTCTATTATATTAATAACAATTGGGGCACCCGGGTGGCTCAGTCGTTAAGTGTCTGCCTTCGGCTCGGGTCATGATCCCAGGGTCCTGGGATCAAGCCCCACATCAGGCTCCCTGGTCAGTGGGAAGCCTGCTTCTCCCTCTCCCACTCCCCCTGCTTGTGTTCCCTCTCTCACTGTGTGTCTCTCTCTCTCAAATAAATAAAATCTTTAAAAACAAAAACAAACAAACAAACAAAACAGCACCCTTTAAGAAGTCCTTTTGAAACTTCAAAGCACTATTCCAGGGAGCTGACCTATTGGAGGCATGATAACATTCTGTAAATGACATTTAATGCCTCTTTGCCACCACAGAAGCTACCCCTAACCCCTGCCAGCTAAAAACAAAAACAAAAACAAAAAAACTTCTCATTAATTATTAATAACAATATAATTTACAGGGTGTTTGCAATGTTCCAGTCTCTCTGCTAAGTGCTATCATATACTATCTTGTTTAATTTTCAGAACTTAAAGGAATAAGAAAATGATCATTCCCATTATATAGATGAGGAAACTGAGGTTCAGAATTTACCAAGGTCATGCTACCACTAGCTGGTAGAACTAGAATTTGAACATAGGCAGTTTGATTCCAGAGCCTGTACTCATAACCATTTGTTACTCAAAGTATGGTCCATAGACAAGTTGCTGGTGAACAAACTGCTTGTTACCAGTCCGAGACAAGATAAGAAGCAGGCAACAGTCACTAAACATGCTATTTAATTCAGCAGACATTTTTTTTCAATAGTGAGACTTTTTTGATGAAGGGAGCAAAGCACTAATGTACATTTTGGCATAAGCTTCTGATATCTTTGCAGAGTGGCACTTTGAGGAAGCATCGCTCTAAATTATAATGCTATTCAGCCTCCTTGAACTGACACTGCACTTTATCCTTCACTTACCACCTTGCACATTATGCTGTATACACACACACACACTCCCTGAAATCAGGGACATTCTCCTTAGTCTCCTCCAGTCAGGATGTCTATCTAGTACAATATCTACCACATAGCAGGAAAAGGCTCAATCAGTAGTTTTTTAATTGATTTTAATTAAAGCACTTTCATTAAACTTTAGGAAATGCATCCCATGTATACCACACAATTGGATCATGCAGTCATTTTCAAGAGCCTGTCATTCTTTCAACAATGGCTTAATGTCCCCCATGTGGCAGGTCTTGCGTTAGATGCTAAAGAAATAAAAAAAAAAAAAAGAACACAGTTCCCACTAGTCAGTGGGGAGGGGAGCTGACACATGAATAGATTATTATAGCCCAGAGCACTAAGTGACATGATAGAAGTGTGTGTCAAGTGCTGAAAGAGCAACCAACTCTCTGGGGCATCACAAAAAGATAAAGCACATCTTTCATCCTAAAACAATTGAAGTACTATCAGCTGTGAGAGCTAAAGTCACAGCTTATTATCCAATCTTCTAGACAGCATGTTTAGCACAGTTACACTAAGTTATAAAGGTTTAAAAGTTCAAATTTCACTTAAGGACTTAAAATAAGACCCCCTATAATTAAAAATCCTGGAGTCAGGCAGAAATGGGTTAAATCTAGGCCACTTACTGGTTCTGTGACTTTTGGGCTTTCTGAGCCTTGGTTTCCTCATCTGTAAAATGGGAACATACTACTATCTAATCAGTAAGGAAGTATAAATCTTGCCATATTCACATACTGTGCCATGTATTACCTTGCCACAATGACAAACCACCCAAATGATTATTTATTAAATATTTTTCTTTAAATCAATTCACTTAAAAAGTTAATTAAAAAAAAACTTTTTGTAGAGCAATTGGAATTCATGTTGCTGATGAGAAAGAAAACGGTATATATAGCCACTTTGGAAAACAGTTTGGCAGGTTCTTAGATTTTATTTTTTATTATTTATTTGAGAGAGAGAGAATGAGAGAGCACATGAGAGGGGGGAGGGTCAGAGGGAGAGAAGCAGGCTCCCCGCTGAGCAGGGAGCCTGATGCGGGACTTGATCCCAGGACTCCAGGATCATGACCTGAGCCAAAGGCAGTCGCTTAACCAACTGAGCCACCCAGGTGCCCAGTTTGGCAGGTTCTTATAAATTTAAAAATCCACTGCACTTACCATTCGACCCAGCAATTACATAGAGAAATGAAAACTTACGTTCTCACAAAAACCTGTACAAGTTTATAGCGGCTTTATTTATAACTGCCAAAAACTGGAAATAACACAAATGGCCTTCAACCATTGAACAGATAAACAAACATACATCCATTCAATGAAATGCTAATCAGCAAGGAAAAGGAACAAACTACTTGATACAGGCAACAAAAGAAATTAGTCTCAAATATATTATCCAAGTGAAAGAAGCCAGACTCAAAAGGAAAAATACTGTATAATTCCACTTACATCGCATTCTGGAAAAGGCAAAACTATAGGGACAGAAAACAGATCTGTTTGTGAGGGACTGGGGGTAGGGGAGGGATTAACTACAAAGGCAGAAGGGAACTTCTTGGGATAATGTAAAGTTCTATATCTTGAGTATGATGGTATTTACTGTGTGCATTTGTGAAAACGCACAGAAAATTGTTCACTAAAAGGGTGAATTTTACTAAAGGTAAATTGTATCTCAATAAGCCTGACTTTATATCACCAGTATCAGCTGCCATTAAGAGAAATTTTTTTTAAAAAGTACAGTGGGGGTGCCTGGATGGCTGTCAGTAGAACACACGACTCTTGATCTCAGGGTTGTGAGTTCAAGCCCCACATTGGGCCTAGAGCTTACTTAAAGAAAAAAAAAAAAGTACAATGAAAAGAAAACAAAATAATGTTGTAAAATTCTAGCTAGAGCCAAAGACTCTGAGTCTCAGGTCCCTTCTCTGTTATGAAGATTAGGAAGTGCTAGAGTGGCATGACCACAACCACACAAAGAATTTCTCCTTGACATAATTAGGTTGAATGAGAGTTAAAAAGGGAAGAAATTTCTCACCATGTGATTTAATGTTATTTAAAGCAAACTACAGGGCATCCCACACTTTCTGAAACACTGAGATATATAAAGTGCCTGGCCTGAAGTAGCTAGCCAGGAAGTGTTAGTTCTCCTCCCCTACAGTTTTCCAGCAAATCCAAAGAGTAAATGAAAAGCAGAGCAGGCAAAGAAACCCTAAATAAATGGGGAGATATGCTTTGTTAATGGATCAGGGGAATCAAAATCGATGTCAATTCTCTTCAAATTGACCTACAGACTGAACATAATCCTAATAAAATTCCATCAGTTTCCTTTATGTAGAAATCAACAAACTAATTCTAAATTTTTTTTTTAAAGATTTTATTTATTTATGTGAGAGAGAGGATGAGAGGAGAGAGAGAGCACATGAGAGGGGGGAGGGTCAGAGGGAGAAGCAGACTCCCCGCTGAGCAGGGAGCCTGATGCGGGACTCGATCCCGGGACTCCAGGATCATGACCTGAGCCGAAGGCAGTCGCTTAACCAACTGAGCCACCCGGGCGCCCAATTCTAAAATTTTTATAGAAAGCCAAAGGACCTAGAATAGCCAAAATAATTTTGCTAAAAAAAAAAAAATGAACAAAGTTGTAGTTTCAGGAATCAAGCTATAGTAATCAAGATACCTGGTGTATGGTATAAGCATTGATACATGAATCATCACAATAGAATAGAGTCCAGAAATAGACCCACATATACATGGTTAACTGACTTTCAAAAAGTGCTAAGACAATTTGATAAAGATAGAAAATCTTCTCAATAAATGAATATAAATGGAACACCTGGATATTTATAAGAAGAAAAAAAAGAAAAGAAAGAACTTTGACCCATATCTCACATCATATACAAAAAAAACCACCCCAAAATCAAAAATGGATCATCGACCTAAAGGTAAAACTTAAAACTACAGAACTTCTAGAAGAAAACACAGGAGAATATCTTGTGATCTTGAGTTAGACAAAGTTTTCTTAGATAGAACACCAAAAGTATGAACGATAAAAGAAAAAATTGATAAACTGAACTTCATCAAACTTAAAAAAGTCTGCCCTCCAAAGGACTCAGCTAAGAATATGACAAGGTAAGTCAAAGACAGGGAGAAAATATTTGCAAAAGACATACTGAAAAAAAAACTGGTATCCAAAAATAGAAAAAGAATTTTCATAATAATAAGAAAACAAACAACCCAATTTTAAAAATGGACAAAAGACTTGGACATGTCATCAAAGCAGATATACAGAAGGCAAATAAGCATATGAAAAGATGTTCAAAATCATTATTTACTAGGGAAATGAAAATTAAAAACTACGAGATACCACTGTATATCTATTAGAATAACTTTAGAAAAAAAACTGACAATATCAAATGCTGACCAGGAAAAGGAGTTACTTTAACTCTCATACACTGTTGGTGGGAAAACAAAATGGTGCAACCACTTTGGAAAACAGATGTCAGTTTTTTATAAAGTTAAACATACAGTCACCATACAACCCCCAAATCCCAGGCTTAGGTAGCTATCCAGGAGAAAAGATATATGCCCCACAAAACATACATGAGAATGCTTATGACAGCTTTATTCATAATCACCAATAAACTGGAAGCAATGCAGATGTATATCAACTGCTGAATGGATAAGCCAATTAAGGTCCATCACTTAATGGAATACTACTCAGCAATAAAATATTTCCAAAAACATGGAAGAATCTTAAACACATTATGTTAAGTGAAAGAGGTCAGACACAAAAAGCTACACACTGTATGATTCCATTTACATGATGTTCTGGAGACTTAAAACAACAGGACAGAAAATCAATTGTTGGTTGCCAGGGATTATGACTACACCTGGGCACTGGGGAAATTTTGGAGTTAGTGTAACTGTTCTATATTCTGATTGTGGTAAACTATATGCCTAAAAAGGGTGAATTTTACTAAATGTAAATTATGTCTCAAAACCTCATTTAACAACAATGACAAAGCAGAGCATGCTATTCACACCAAGAACATCCCATGCAAAGGCATCCTTCATACCTTTCCTCAACTTTAATGGATAGATGGTTGCAGAGGTTGTGAACATATTGGGCATAACTCTCTGCCACGGCCATGTCATATGCAGTCAAGTGAATGTTTAAAATCCCATATTCATAATCTGTCCCCAAATTAATGGGTCTAACTTCCACTTTTCCTTTCTTCTTCTTGGGCTGAACAGAAAACAAAAGGAGAAAGAAAATAAATCAAAGTGTTATTACAAAAAAATTCTAATCATCCCATCTTGATATCAAAGAAATCAGTCTTTCAAATCAATTTGTTTACCATTTTTCTCTTAGGTTACCTTACCTTCAAACTGAAGTTCCCCTGGGAAGGAATGGGTAGCTTCCCTTGCCATTCTGGGCTGTGACATCAGCCAACAGAAGGAGAGGGAATATTGCTGGCATTACTTTAACACAAATACAAATGACTATCTTCTGCAATTAACTTGTTATGAGACTCAGCCCCCTCCCTGGCCCTCACCTTCCCAATCTTCAAATTGGTGGGGTTATGCTAGATAACAGATTCTTTTTTTTTTTTTAAAGATTTTATTTATTTACTTGATAGAGAGAGAGACAGCGAGAAAGGGAACACAAGCAGGGGGAGTGGGAGAGGGAGAAGCAGGCTTCCCGCGGAGCAGGGAGGCCAATGTGGAGCTTGATCCCAGGACCCTGAGATCATGACCCAAGCCGAAGGCAATCGCTTAACTGACTGAGCCACCCAGGTGCCCCTAGATAACAGATTCTTAATCTAGAACCCAGTGAGGGATTTCAAGTGGTCTATCAACCCCAAAATTTATATGCAAAATTTTACATGCGTGTGTACTTTTCTGAAAGAATTCTTAGCTTTCATCAGTATCTTAAATCAATTGCAAGGAAACTCAGCATTAGATCTCTTCCAGCCCTCCTAGCTTAGAAATTCTGCAATTATTTAGTCTTCCTTTTAAGAATTGAGAGGTAGAGAGAATGCACGTGAATAATATTATGTAGAAATCAAGCCTAGACCTGGAACGAAAATCTGTATATTGTCTCTCTCTCTCAAATAAATAAAGAAACCTTTAAAAAAAAAAAAAAAGAAGAACTGAGAGATAGACAAATTATTTCTACTTTACCCTTTTGTATTATTTCACTACATATCAACCTGTGCAGGCTGCAGTAAAAAGTTAAAAATGAGGCCTGGGAAAATAAATATTTAACCTAACATAGATAAGGATCAAGAAAGTTTCTCGGGGCGCCTGGGTGGCTCAGTTGGTTAAGCGACTGCCTTCGGCTCAGGTCATGATCCTGGAGTCCCTGGATCGAGTCCCGCATCGGGTTCCCTGCTTGGCAGGGAGCCTGCTTCTGCCTCTGACCCTCCCCCCTCTCATGTGCTCTCTCTCTCTCATTCTCTCTGTCTCAAATAAATAAATTTTAAAAAATCTTTAAAAAAAAAAAAAGAAAGTTTCTCAACTGGAAATAATCTAACCTAACTCCCATCTAGAGGAGGGACTTAGGGACCCCCAGAGTGACACAGCCAGTCAAGACAGATCCTAGGAGGGACTTAGGGACCCCCAGAGTGACACAGCCAGTCAAGACAGATCCTAGGAACTAAAACCCAGACCTTCTAACCCCCAATGCAGGGGATTTTTCCACTGTAGCCTCTGCATTGCTAAACTTTTTATAGCCTTTATAGTTTCTGGATTTCTTATCTTTATGATGAAGATCTTACCCACTCTTTTATCACGTAGTCTCTTATAGTTTCTCATTGCTAAAGTTCTTAACAGTGGTGGCCACCCCAGGGTCCTAGACTTTGCTATGAGTGAGAAGCCAACCTCTAGAGACCAACTGTCAAAGAACAGGGGCTTGGCTCTCTCTTTTTCAGAGCATACCACACTCGTGGCCAAATGCAGATTTCTCATCAAGACATTTAGCACTGCAGTCAAAGCTGTGAAGAATGCTAACATTGGAATGCAATGGGGAGCTGCTAAAATTTTCCAGCAGAGAAGGGAGGAGCTTCTCTAAAGCCTTTAGGAGGCTTTTAGAACCAGGGAAAATGCCAAGGCTCTTCAAAGGTGTCGCTTTAGGGGAACAAAACAAAACAAGCTGATTCCAGTATCCCTCTTGGCATCTCACTTGCTTTTCTATGTCAGCCTAGCTATGCCTGGACCTCCCCACATTATCAGGAGCCCATTGTGACATTATGTTTCAGTTCTGAGCCAGGGCCAGCATAGCCAGCAAGAGCTTGACTGCATATAATATCAGTCACCGGTTCCTATAATTTTACCTGTACAAGCTTTCTCATACCCGTCCCCTCCTTTCTATCCCCACTGTCTGAGTTCATGCCCTTATAACCACCATGGGGAGCTATTCAAGATATCTGTGCAAAGCATGTACATGACTAGAGCTGTGTTTGGGGAAGGCCACCTTGACTGCACATGGAGGAGAGTCAGGCAGGAAGCGAAGGGAAGCTAGGAGAAAGGTGGCGGGGACGATGGACTACTGTCCACCATCAAACTTTGGCACTCCTGTGACTGACCTGGATTCAGTGTGTGATGGCCCAGGGTGGCCATTCTTAGATCCCTGTAGGACTGCACTATGATCCCCCAAATAGGCCATGGGATAAATTACTAAACCACTTTTGTAAAGAAATGTCCATATTATTATCCCTACTTTACAGAGAGAAAACTGAGGTCCTCTGAAAGCACATTACTTGCCCAGGGTTACTGGGAAACTTTGCTGGGAAAGAGCAGAAAAAGGAGTCAGATTAGACTCACAGGCTGCTATAACTGCAAGGGCTCCTAGAGATAATACAGTCTCTCCTTCTTTCCCTCCCTAATTTTACCCAAGGGGAAAATTGAGACCCAAAAGGAGGAAGTGACTTGTTTATGGTCATAATAGTAAGGAAATAGCAAAGGTAACCACTTTATGTCTAGCCATGGCTGGAAGCTGGGTCTGTGGCCCCAAGCCCAGGCTCTCTCTTCTAGATTCTACAGAAGTGATAATGTCTGCCTATCACTAAGATGGCATTCTCCAGGGTGGGAAAATTGGGAAGGACAGTATCATCCTAATCTTCAAGTGAAAAGGCAGATATGCCTGCAGCATATTTAGCTTCCAGAAATTCTGGTGATGAAAATTTAAAAATTAACACCCGAGGACCTGAATGATTTGGTGATGGTACTCTGAACAGTCCATAACGAGCTATAAGGTGCAAAGAAATCAAGTGACTATGTTTATAACTCAATGTGGCACACTCAAGAGACATCACTAGACAGAAGGCCTGGCCCTGACTGGGATGACCAAGAGGCACAGCCTGGTACTGCACAAAGCACTATACTTAGATGGAAGCCAAAGAAAAGCCGGACTTAAAGCCTGTCTGCTTAGTCACTAAATGACATTGAATGACCTCTCTATGTGTCAGTTTCTTCCCCTTTAACACCTAAAGTTCTTGTTAAGCTTGAAACGGTAATTTATATGAAATGGAAATAGCATAGACATCAGATGGATTCTGACCACGCTTGGTTCAAATGTCGGCTCTGGAAATTACTAGCCATTTAGGCAAGTCATTTAATCTCTCTGAGTCTTAGAGTCCTCAAACAGGGTCTTTAATAACTAGAATATCTGAGGATTAAATAAAATATACCATTTATAATATTATAAAAGGAAATAATGCTTTTATTTTTTTTACTTTCTTTTTTATTAAGTTTTTTTGTTTCAATTCCAATACAGTTAACATACAGTGTAATATTAGTTTCAGGTATACAGTATAGTGATTCAACAATTCTAAACATTACTCAGTGCTCATTGTGATAAGTGTACTATAATACTTTAAAATGGAATAATGCCAGGGTCGCCTGGGTGGCTCAGTCATTCAGCGTCTGCCTTCGGCTCAGGTCGTGATCTCAGGGTCCTGGGATCAAGCCCCGCATCGGGCTCCCTGCTCTACAGGGAGCCTGCTTCTCCCTCTCCCACTCCCCCTGCTTGTGTTCCCTCTCTCACTGTGTCTCTCTGTCAAATAAGTAAAATCTTAAAAAAAAAAAAAAAGAATAATGCCTTTAAAGCCTGGCACATAGTAGTTACGGCATCTGGTATATAGCAGTCACTCAATAAAAGGTAACTTTAAAAAAAAAAAGGTTGAGTAATGTACACAAATAGGACAGTATTACCATAAATTGGAGGTAATCATGCTCCTGGTATCCTACTGTCATGCTTTACAGAATGAAACATTTATGCAAAGTGCTGATTCAACCACTCAGGAAAGACACCAAAGAAACAGTCCCAGGCCTCAAGGAATTTACAGTTCAGAGAGAGAGGAGACCACATGAAAAAACAAATTGCAATTTAATCATAAAGAGCAGCCCACCTCCCATGGCAAGTTCAATGCAAACTACCTCACTGCACCACGCTGATTAATTCCCCAGGGGGAACCCAAGAGCAACCACCTCAGGTGGGTACAGTTGAAAGGGCAGTAAGCAGAGACACTTTAAAGATATATAGTCGTTACTTAATAAATAGTATCTTTTTAAAAGGGTTGATTTAGACCTCCCTACTTCTCAGTTCCATGGTCACTCATCCCCTAGTACCCACTTTAAACTCCAGGATTAAAAGACTGCTAAAAGTTTCTCAATTGCATCTCCAGGGTTAGTGTCTCCCTACCTTCACCCAGAAGGTTCCCCCTCTTTGCAGAGCCTTTGACTCTTCATCCCACATGCTTAATGTGAGCAACTCCTATTTATTTTTAAGACTCAGCTCATGCTCATCCAGGAATCCTTCCCTGATTTCTCAGGCTGAGTTAGGTACCACTCTTCTGTGTTCCCATAGCAAAATCCTCCCCCAGATACACCATTCTCAATCACATGTATGCATTTATTCAACAAATACTGACTGCTGTGATGAACAAAACCAGGGTCAGGATTAGGGATATGATAGGAAAGAAGACAGCCATTGTCTCTGCTCACTAATGTTTACAGTCTATCAGGAAAGGCATATACAGAACAAGTAATTATAAGGAGATGGCATGTTTTGAGGGAGGAAAATAGAATACTATGGAATTGTGAAAAACAGACTAATGCTATCATCATCATCACCACCTATGGGCTCTGTGTTTCAGACACTGCTAAGTTCCTAAATTCTCTTATTTAACTTACTTCTCACAACAACACTGGGAAATATAATTCCTATATAAAGCCAAGGAAACT